CTATGGCATTGCTATCATATAGGTTCAATATAGTTTCATAAATGCAGAAAAATCGTTGATCATTTACTCAAGTTTTAGATTGACGAATTGAAAAAGAGTGACGCGGGGACTGACGAAAAATACCGCTGAATTGTAATTGATGTAATTGTTTGTTTAATCAGAAAAGACCGTTCTACATAACTACTTAGATTAGATTATTATAGGAAACAATTTGATAAAATAAAGTTATTTCGACTCTGAATATGCGTGTGTCTCAGATATTTTGGTATTGGGCAATAATTATCTTTCCGGAAAATTATTGGGCAATAAGTTTTCAATTACTGGGCAATTGCCCAATGGCCACCCCCCTGGCTACGCCACTGAATCCCATCATTAAACGAAAATTTCATCATTCACACATTTCGGATACTATCAGTTTGCTACTTGTTATTAGTTCATCGGTATCCTATTAAAGGCACGATGATACGAAGATCCCAAAATTTATATAAATGTTTTTTTTGGTTGTAGCATGTTGCTCTGGCAAATCGACGTTTCCACCAACTCGCATGTTTTCGTCATCGCAACATGTATTTCATCAGAGATGATCATTTATCTCTTGGTCAGTTGTAATAAGCAGTTTTCCTCGTCAGTATGTAGAGCGCGAAATTTCTTTGCTCCTTATGGAAATCATGTAAGAAAGACAAAACGAATGTTGTGCCCAACACAGCACCGAGAGGTGAATGATCAGCTCTGATCAATTACATGTTGCGATGACAAAAATGTGCGAGTTGATGGTAATATTGACTTGCCAGAGCAACATATTTATTCAAGCTCCTTTGTATAAAGAAAATTCTCAAATAAACCTATATGGCTTGGTGTATTTGGATAGTCTGATAATGAAATAAATACAAACACTTGATGATGAAATTAGTGTGATAAAGCATAGGGTTCAAAAACGGAGATTGACGTCTGTCGCTTTGAATGGAACATGGTTACCATTTAGTATCTTTGGTATAAACGATCATTGAGTTATGATCCAAGTGATCATTCATGAATCGAAGTTCAAGTTTTCATCTGAATGTTTAAAAAAAAAGAAAGTTTAGTTAGTATGAGATAACTTAGAATGTATAGGTATGAGAAATGAAGATGTCGAAGTAGACTATAAGGATTTCACAAATCTAGGAAGTGCTACTGTATGAAAAAACTTCTATGAACTATATTAATGCAAGGGGGAAACAGCGGACTTCAAGACTTCAAGACTTCAACAGACTTCACTCGCTGTGACTTCATCTTTTCACAAGACTTCGAAAGACTTCTAAAGACTTCTGAAAACTTCATAGGACTTCAAATGACTTCGCAAGACTTCGTATGACTTCATGGGACTTCAAAAAACTTTGAAAGACTTCGTTAGACTTCACAGACTTCGTGAGACTTCAGGGACTTCATGAGACTTCACGGATTTCATGAGACTTCAGAGACTTTGTAGGACTTCTTGAGACTTTATAAGACTTCATCAGACTTCATAAGACTTCACAAGACTTTATAAAACTTCACAAGACTTCACAAAACTTCACAAGACTTCAAAAGACTTCAGAAGACTTCACAAGACTTCATAGGACTTCAAGAGGCAGATTCCATGCGTATCAAAAAATCTTATACAAATTACATGAAACCTCTATAACATGCAAAAAAACAAAACTTATCAAATAGTAGGGGTGTCATTTACCGTTTACTTTATAATAAATATAAATTATTTATCATTTAATTTACGCGTAAATTAAATGGAAAGGAAATATAAATTGACACCCTTATTCATAACAGAGTAACTAGTGTCTTCCGAGAACCACGAACGGGAATGATATTGAAAATTGATTGCTCCCAAAAGTCTGTTTTGTGGAACTCACGTATATTTTCGAAGAAAATAGTGAGTGTACGTTTTCAGTTCGAGGTTTGATGACTCTCTCTCCCCCCCACCCCATTATAGACACTTAGCAACGGAGAAATAGAACATTACAGACATACCCCCTCCCCCCTCCCCTCCCCCATTACAGCCCTTAGCAACGAGGATTAAATAATGGTGAAAATATTATTTTAGCTGCATTTAATCGTGCAAAAGAACTAGTTAGTAATTTGAATATATTACCTTCATTAAAGAAATGCAATGCTTGTGAATTTAATGGTTTAAGTAAAAATATATTTGATAGTATTAGATTCAACATTAATTCGGATACTTATTCGGAAACGGATGCAGGTTCTTCATCAAATTCTGAATCTGATTATGATGATGAAACAATGGAAAGTAATGAGTTTAATAGTGATCTAATCAATGTGGATGAAGAAGATAAAGATGCGGCAACGACACAAAGTGTTGATGAAATTAAAACTGAGAAAATAAATTTTACTGGTATGCGTATATTTGATTAGATCAATCCAGCAACGAAAAACTCCTATTTTCAAGTGCAAATAAATAACAAGACTAAATTTATACACAAGTAAACGGCTTGTTGGTTATTAACTGACAAAGCTAGCCGTTTATCAGCTGATAGATTATCACGAGTGATAGAAACAAACAAAAAGGATTAAAATTCTTCATAAGATTGATTTGGATAGATAAAACATTTCTTATAAAAATAAAACACTTCATTCAAAAAGATTCAGTTATTAACTATTACGTTTACTAAGACCAAACAAGCTTGAATTTTTTCCAGCACATTGAAAAAAAAACAATAAATAGTTCACCTTTCTGCTAAAATAAAATCGTCGAAAACAAGACAATTTCATTGGTTTCTTATGAATTTTCATGCACTAAATGTATTTCAAAACTTTCAAAAGAATTCATGAGACTTCATTAGATTTCATGAGACTTCAAGAGACTTCAAGAGACTTCAAGTGACTTCAAGAGACTTCAAGTGACTTCATGAGACTTCATGAGATTTCAAGAGACTTCAAAGACTTCAGAGACTTTATGAGACTTTATGATAATTCATAAGACTTCGAAAGACTTCAAGAGACTTCAGAAGACTTCAAAAGACTTACAAGACTTCATGAGACTTCACGGCTGAAGTCTCTGCTGGTTCCCCCTTGTATTAATGTTAAGTTACTGAACTTTTTTGTTACAGTATTAACTTGGATTCAATTATGCTGAAGGTATATAGGCGAACGTATTGTTGTTTCATAAAGACTTCTTTTTGAGTCAACTTCTACATGGAATTGTGATAAACGAATTTGGTCTTTTAACTTATATCAGAAAGCTATATGGAAAAAATTCCTCTCATTAAGACACCGTCTTTGGTAATCTAGAACAGCAACCAATTAGCTTTGTGATAGACGTCAGTACAATCCTGAAAAAGCAGCATTTTTTGTGTTTATCGCAATTAGTGGAACCATTTTGGTCTCGATCATATTATCGATGAAGAAATGTATTTCACTTTGCTATGAGTCTTCTTTTCAGTTCAAAGTTTCGAAACAGTCCATGATGAAATCTAGAGTATTCCACAAAAATGAAGTGTTTTCGTATTTTAGCTTATAGAAACATCTGAAAAATAATTGTTAAGACGCAGATGTCACATATTCAGATTAGTTGTGAAAACACCAATCTATAATCAGAAAAAGTATTCAAACTACATTGTGTATGATGTTTTTAAGGACATTTCGAAATTGAGAGGATTGTGTATTGCAGAGATGAGCGAGTCAGCAAAAAAGTCGCACCGTCACCGCCCCGTCCCGCACCGCCGATAAAGTTCCGCACCGTCACCGCCCCGCCCCGCCCCGTCAAAAACATGTTTTAAAAAACTATTTATTGACAAATTTTTCATTAAATTTTCATAATGGCTATTTCATTTCATGAGATGAAGAGGCATATTTTAAATGCATAAACATCGTTCCGAAATAGAAAAAAATAAATATATGAAAATGAAAGGCAATTATAATACAGTCACTCATTTTGTGGAACTCACGTATATTTTCGAATAAAATAGTGATTGTAAGTTTTAAGTTCGAGGTTTGGCGGCTCTCTCCCTTCCCCCACTCCATTACAGACACTCCACTCAGGGTTGCCAGATCTTTCGATACGGCAGGAAAAATTGCGATTTTTTAAAAGTTCCTCCAACGACTTTCCGACGTTCCGATTTTTCCGATTTTAACATATTTTTCCGATCGCCTTCAGATTTCCTAATTTTTCTCCGGTTTTCGAAGTCTTATTTGGGAATTCAAGTTCTTAGGACATTCTAGAATAGTTTAACCATGACACGGCACCACACATATATAGCGATCTATTTCACCATAGTTATCGGGTAGTGAAGCGTCATGAACTCAACAAACCACACTGCAGTGACTTGAAAGCATATCCTCCAATAAAACTATGATGTTTTACAGACAATTAAGATCCAGCTTTCTATCACGATGAACTAACTTTCTCTGTTCGTTTACTATAGTGTTAATTAAGAATATTTTCGTTTCTGAGCTTTTTTTGTTTCATCACAGATATCATAAAACTAATCATAATCGTATGGGTACTAATTTAACTGTTGCAGAATTGAAAATCGGAATGAGTTCTGTTTATACTTGTGGACATTTTTATGAATATCTGTTACCTCAACCTGATATTTTGAAGAGTATTCGAGCTAATAAAAAAGTATGAACAAAAACGAATATTATACAGAATAAGTCTTAGTTTTGTTTTGCATAAGTTTTGTGAAATGCATGTGTGTGTATGAATTTACAATACTGATTCTATTGTTTCGTCAAGTTGGTTATAGCATTTTTGATAAAAATAATGTGATCCTGTTCAAATTACTTATGTAGATTTCTCAATCATGAATAAATTGTGTAATCGATATTTTCTTTAATTCTTTATGAAATATCATTTCTGATATTGCTTCGAAAAGATGAACAGAAGCAAGATAAAGGATATTGAAGCTATCGAAAATATATAGACTAGTTATTTAAGCATGGAAAAATACTTTCTGATTTTCTTCCGATTTCGAGAACAAAAATTCCGACTTTCCCAATTTTTAGAAAAATTTTTCTGATTTTTTAATTTTCGATCTGGTAACCCTGATTCCCACCATTACAAACCTCAGCAGCGCATAAAAGGTTCTAGTTTTTATATAATATATCAATGTTTTCATACGTATTCGGAAAAAAGGTATTTTACAATTTAAAAATAAGGCATCAGGACAAAAAATTAAAAAAATATATGTGAGTTCCACATTTTAGCTCCTCTGGAGCTGCGCTAACAAGTCTTTTTTTACTGATTAGTTTTGTGAAAAGATTTTAAGATTTTAAAAAGATGTCTCTAAAGGTCTGAGTATATTTAAAAAATCAAGGTTATACAAAGGCGGGGAAACCGCGAAATTTCGTCATGCACCGTCACCGCCCCGCCGGCGGGGCGGGGCGGGGCGGGACGGGGCGGTTTTACACCGCGGCTCTCTCATCTCTGGTGTATTGCACTTATTAGTGATCATTTTCTAAACTTATTAGACTCAGACATATATGAAATAAAACTCTCATTAATAAGGAATAGGATGTGGGTGTGAGGGTGTTCTTCAAGTGGAAAGGAACACCCTCATCACCCCACACTCTCCAGCTAAGCAAAATAGAAAGTTTTCATTTTTAGAAATACGGAAAGAAATATGATTGAACAGATAAATTGACTTTCATATTATTTATCCTTGTAAATATTGAACTTTCAACATGGAACTTAAGATATGGATATATTTACACAATAAAAAAGCATCTATCAGCAATGCAGTATATGCTTAAATTTTCTATTGACACGCCGATCA